TAACAATACAATTAACATTCAGAGCAATAAACCAAAGTTTGTGCGTATACTCTATTTACTTTATAATCATTAGTATAACAAAACTCTTATATTAAATAACTAATGTTTTTAATATCTTGTATTAAAACAAAAAATATTTAATTTTTACCCTCACCCTTTAGCAAAATATAAACTTAGGCAACTTAAAATTTACGTTTTGTTAACAATTGTGTGAGTTTTAATAATATTTTAAGCACCCATAATCCGTTTTCTTAAATTGAAATTAACACTGTATCACCCCCAAATTATGTTTTGATCAGTTTTTTCAAACGTATAATAATTTTTATATTATAATAAATCTATATAGAAAGACTTTATATTAATACTTGTTCAAAATTTAAATTATTATAAACCTCAGTACAAAAATAAAGCTAAAATCTCATCGCTTTACTTAAACCTAAACCAAAAATAATGTGACAAAAAGTGCTTAAGAAAAATAGTATATAAAACACGGCGACAAAAGCTTATTAAATTTAATTGCCCCGCACGCAATCTAATGCTCGGCTATAATATGAACTTTCTTCGGCTGGTTTAAAATGTATTATTATTTCATATTTTAGTAAAAAAACATCTTTTTTTAATTTAAAATTAAAATACTATATTATATATTCCCCCATTTTACTGCCCCACCAGAAAATTTGTTGCCAAAATAATTAACTTGGCACATATATTATCATATCCCAATCATAAACATAGGAAAATACTTTTGACCGTCTTTTTTTCAATATGTCCCAATTCTCTACTTTCCGTTAAACCTATTTTTTTAAGAAAACTGGTTAACATTTTTTTCTACCCCTACCTTTAAAACGCCCTTTGTCGTACATGTTTCCATGACACTAAGTGACCTTTTAAATACACATTGACAAGTTGTGGCTTTATGGTGCTTTAGTCACGGGCTAAAGTTAGCAACAGGTTTTTAGTCACGGGCTAAAGTTAGTTTTAAGTTAGTTGACAGTTGTCAAATGTCATACAATCGTTAAAATAAATTGCCTTTCTTGTAATTATCTCAATACAAAAATACAAAAGTATTAAATAGTTTCTCAACGCCAATATTTGAAAAGTTGATATGAACATTGTACTGACCTTTTAATTTCGCCGGCAGTATAACTTAAATTCGGGCACGGACTCCATTGTAAAGTGCTCATAAAACATTTTCTTTACTTTCACTCTAAAACACTGTCCATTTTCAAGAAATACATTTCGATTTATAACCTTTATAATTGTGTTTATAAAATATAAAAATTTGACATTTGACGGTGACACCCAGATTCCCCTATTGTTTCATAGATGGCGCTCTATACAAATTTTTGATTTAAATCATTTTAAGATAATAATAAGTATTTGTCGTAGAAAAAGTATAGTATGCACCTCGTTTATAAACTTTTCTATACACTCATTAATTTAAGCACTCGCTCGCAAGCTCGCTCGTGCCTAAATTGAATTCGTGTATAAAATGGCGTTTATCAAACTTGATACATAATATACTATTGTTTCGGGTTTGCTTTTGATCATAAATTTTAACCATTAATTAAAAGGATTTTAAAGAGAAAGATGGATGACATAATTACTTTTGGGTTAAAAAATTTTAATAACCAGACCTGATGATGAATTGTTCAAATTTGTAGACCAGTTTTATCATAACTTTGACCCCGGCGCATTCGCCATTTTTTTAAAATTAAAACAGACATTAAAACAAAATGTTGAATTTTTGTGGATTGGAAAATAATATATAAGACAATATAACAATCTTGAACTAATTAATCTTGGTTTATTATTTTGCCAATATTTTTGCAAAGCACATAAGATTTTAATTGTAATTATAATTATACAACTTTTGTCTGTTAATTAACAATTTATTTTTTAATCTAAATATTTTATAAATTCACCAACTGTGTTAAAAATAAAATGCAATAGGTATTTTAAATTTAAAACTTCGTTTCTCTAGACAGTGGATATTGTCCAAAATTAAACTGAAAACGCTTAAACACACATGCGAAAACTATTTGGTTTTATTTGGAAAATTAACACCTTAAGTCGTGACGTTTTATATTTTCCAATCCAAAAATAATTTGGTATTTGCATGACTCAACCACATCTTAGATCCATTTATAATTGTTGTGGACGTTTTTAATTCTTTATATTAATATAATATTTTTTGTTCATGTTATTTTGCATTTGAACTTAATATTAAATACAAAGTATATGTAATTGTATTACCTACATATATTCTGTAATTGGGCGTTGAGCCTGTAGAATATTTACTAAATAAATAAATAAATAAATAAATAAAATAAATAAATATTAATAGTAATGATATGTTTGATTTCATATGGTTTTGTACATAATTAAGATAATAATATTTTTTTAAATAATTAAGCCGGCGTGTGGTTTGTTTCATAAATTATAATCCCTGCATATTTGTTTACCGACAAGAAATTATGCATTAAATTAAAACTAAATTTTGTATTTGGAATTACGTATAAGCTTTGTTAGTTGACGTTTTAAAATAAGTGTAAAATTTAAATTATAAGTTATTTAATAGTTCCTATACAATTTATTTAGCATACCAATTATACTTGTTGTATGTAATTTATTTGAAAAAATACGCCAAAAACAAAAAAAAACAATAAATGAACCTGGATGGGAATAGTTTAATTTTTATGGGGTGTGATTTCGCGGATTTGTTTAAAATTTTGTTGAGTTATTCTCTACATCAAAATATTGACGCACTAAAAATTTGACCTCTTTATATTAAGTATACTTTCGTAGTGGGTAATTATTTTTTAAATGTTTGCGATATTAAAAAAAAGTACAAAAAGTACCGTTTTTTGTAAAAAAAATTAGCTTTTTATTATATCGGAAGACCCTTAAAAATTAAATTCAAGTAAAAAATGCGATTTTTCTGGCCTTAAGGCACCATGTGTTTTGTTTGGTGTTCCAATTTAGGGCTTGGAATCTGGGACCAGGGTTTCACAAATTATATCACATATATACACAGTCAAAGTGTCTTGGGAACACCTAAATATTTTTAAATTATTGCAGTAAAACCAAAAAAACTAATGTGAAAATATAATGAAAATATATTGCAAAATGATGTCCCAACCCCTTCAAAAATTAAAATAATAACACCCACTAAATATCCAAATATTTAATAATATGTTATTTATGATAATTATGCCACATTTATTTTTTTTTTATTAAAAACTAATATAATAAATGAAATTTGGGCCCATATTGGTTAAATATGTAAAACTATGTTGTGGCGATATCGAACTGCATTCAAAGTTATTTCCATTAAAAAGAGCTCGGTTCTTCCGCCAGTATTAATTCCTCCCCAAAACATTAATGAACCTCCTCCAAAATTTACCACCTCACGAGCATGTTTTAGCCGTGCTTAGTTTCCAGGTTCTCTTCAGATACGTATCCTTTCAGAATCTGGGTGGTAGCAAAATCTTGACTCATCAGAAAAAAGCATACGGCTCCGATCATCAGGACCCTACTTAAGATGTTCTTGTGTCCAAGCTAAACGAGCAGCGCGATTTCCAGGGAGCAATCGGGGTACCCTTAAAGGTCGTCTCTGAAATAGACCTTGCTCTCGGACACGGTTTCTGACGGTTTGAGCTGACACAATCAAATCGTGGGTCCTAAGAAGCTCTGGAAGCTGTTATTTCCGGGTGTCTCCGAGCTTGCAAAAGCAAAAAGCGGTCTTGTACCGGGGTAGTTATCCTACTGCGGCCTGGATGTCTTTCTTTTACGTCATTATATTCATTGTAACGTCTCCACAATCTGCTTATAACACTCACAGATGTGTCCATTTAACGAGCCACTTCACTTTGTGATAAACCACACTATATCATACCAATTAATCTTAATTTTTGTTCGTCACTTAGATGGTGCCTTTCCATAATAATAAAAGTATTTTTATAAAAATTTGATAAATATTGGGTCAATAACACAAGATATACTAAATTGCACCGTTTAAAGAGGACCCAGAAATACGATAAATAGTAAAAAAAACCTTATTTTTTGCATTAAAAAATGTGTTATACAGTGTGTTCTTTTATATTTAGTTATGTTGTTTTATAAATTATAAGTTAAATTATTTATTAATTAAATTTAATTCGATTTTCCTGGGTGTTCCCTAGACACTTTGACTGTGTATATTTGGTCACATGAATTTTATTTTGGTCTACTTGGTTCAACAATTTCTATTTTAAATTTAATATTTTTTTGTTTAAATATGGTAATAAAGTAATTGTGATTCGGTGAGATTAAGAACAGTACAAGTCCACAAGTTAAAATTATGGCAAAATATTAAAAAAAAAACAGTTTTATAGTTGTAAATACATTTATGTAAAAATATTTTAATTATTTTATAAAATATAATATTCATATTGTCAAATGTTTTTATCTTCTCACAAAAATGTATTTTAAAAATTGATTTTAGAAAATAACTTGTCAAAATAAAATTTTTGGACTTGCACTGTCCTTAATCTCACTGATTCAATTCTAATTATTTTTTGTTATTATACTTAAGGTTATGCATATGTTAAATTAACGCCAATTTTGTCTTATTTTCTAAAAATAATATAATTTACTTACGTATCTTTGTACAAACTTCTTTCTGAATTATTTGAAGAAAAAAATGACTTGCTTTATTATTTAAATGTATTTAAGGGAACATCCATTAATTACGTAAGGCATTTTTCTGATAATTTGGACCCCCCTCCCCCTTGGTGAGATTTGGTGAGATGTGGTAGCCCCCCTATCCCTCACGTGAGATTTTAGCCATTAAACTTTCGTTGCGGACAACATATAAAAAATGAGATTTTTAATGACTGGTTTAAAACATGTTTTTAGACGTTTAAAACATGTTTTTTTATTAAGCGGTTTTAACAGTTGAAAACGGTTTATTAGTTTTTTTTTCAACCCTGGATAGTAGTAACACATTTTTTGTTTATTTCAGATATACTTGCACTGCAAGAAAGGCAAGGACGAACTGTCGATGCTAGTTGCAGCAAAAACGTCTGGGGCCACCCCTCTTGTTATTGCATGTCGTAACGGACATTACGACGTTGCCGAATACCTAATTGACAGGTGTCAAGCTGATATTGAACAACCTGGATCAGGTAAATAAAATGCTTTCTTATTTTTTACTCAAAATTACGCACTTGCCAGTTTGTTTGCATTACCTTTTCCTCGTGCCCAAGCCCGTGTTTTAGAATTTTAATATCAAAATTGTAGACTTAAAAATGTTTTTTTTTAAATCTCATTTGGGAAAGAGACCTTACAAAATATTGCTGCAACGTTTGCAGAGCTTACAAATACAATGTTTTATTTGCTACTTGCAATAACATAAATGAAATTCAAGATAATGTTAGATAATGTTACATTTAAAATGTTACAAATGATAATTTTCCGTAACACTAAATTTACAACTTTACTGTAAGATTCATACGAAAAGTGTTTGCAATATTACATTGGTATCATTTAATATAAAATTTTAAATATAAAAGTATTTAAACAATATAATTATAATATTACGTTTCTCTCAATGTTTAATTTAAAATATTATAACAACTTTTAAATGAAAAGAGGTTACAAGTAAATACCCAAATAGCCTATTATAATTATCAAACTTAATTTTAGCCAATCAGCATAAAACTTTTGCTCTATCTCAATATTTGGTAATTTGTAGGAATAGGATAAAAGCCGCATGTGACCAACAGTATTCATTAATTTTATTTATTTTAATGGTTGATAGAAATTTAGTTCACATATCGATATCCCAATCATAATACAATTTTTTTCTTATGTTATCAAATATAAATATATATTATATATTTCTTTAATGTTATCATAAAGTTATGAGCTTGAATTATTCGATTGCCCAATAAGAACTTTATTATGTATAAGCGTGCAGAATAAAACAATTGTATATATCAATTTTTAATTTATTTTTGCCCTATTGGGCTATCTGGAATGTTTTATTTGCTACTTGCCATACCATAAATAAAATGTTACATTTAAAATGTTACACGTGATAATTTCAACCCTAAATTTGAAACTTTACCTTAAGATTCATATAAAAAGTTTTTAAAGTTAGTAACATTTAGTAATATGAAATGTTGTATAATAGTATTTTATGTATCAAGTTTAATAAACGCTATTTTAGACACTAATTTAATTTAGGCACAAGCGAGCTTGCGAACTAATGCTTAAATTAATCAGTGTCTAGAAAAGTTTATAAACGAGTTGCATACCATACTTTTTCTACGACCAGTAGTTATTATTATCTAAAGATGATTTAAATTAAATATTTGTATAGAGCGACATCTATAAAATGATATACCCATTAACCAAATTGGGAATCTGTTTTACCGTCAAATATCAAATTTTTATTTGTTATAAATCGAAATGTATCCTTTGAAAATGGATTCACAACAGTTTTTCACAGTAAAAGTGAAGAAAATGCTTAATGAGCATTTCATGGTGGAGTTCGAGCCCGAATTTAAGTTATAGTTTACTGCTGGCGAAATTAAAAGGTCAGTACAATGTTCATATAAACTTTTCAAATATTGGCAGAAACTATTTAATACTTTTGTATTTTTCTTTAATTTCACTGCGAAAAACTGCTTCTATATCGAATTAAACGGTCCATTTTCAAGGGATACTTTTCGATTTACACATCAAAATTTGACATTCGGGATTCCCAAGTTGGTTACTCAATTGTTTTATAGATGTCGCTCTATACAAATATTTAATTTAAATCATTTTTACATAATAATAAGTATTTGTCGTAGAAAAAGTATAGTACTCGTTTATAAACTTTTCTAGACACTCATTTAATTAAGCCGTCGCAAGCTCGCTCGTGCCTAAATTAAAATCTTGTCTAAAATGGCGTTTATCAAACTTAATACCTAACATACTATTGAACATTACAATTATAATATTATAAAAACAATTATTAACTTAAATTTCTCTCAATATTTTAATTAAAATATTAAAACAATGTTTAAATGAAAAATGATTGCAATGTTGTTTTAAATATACATATATTAGCAAAATTTATTATCGGAAATATTTTTAAACATTGTAATTAATTATAATATTACAGATACAAGTTTGCTAAAATGTTTTATCTAAAATGCATACCTACATTAAGATAGTTTTTGCAATATTTATACAGTATAAGGGATGGTCGGAAACACACAAAAAGCTGGCCAAAATTCAAATAGAGAGCAAATTTATTTGAAAATAAATACCTTTTTGTTTTTGGGGTCCGAGAATTTGAATTTGAGGTCGAAATAGTAAAAAACAAAATAGTTGCCACAAAATGACGGGCGAATTGACGTCACGTTAGAAAAAAAATGGTAGTAATGGGTTTTCGGGGTCAAGGACCTCAAATTTGAGGTTAAAAACAAGATGGTTGTTTGTTTTTGTTAAAAATAACGCTGCACCCGTAAAAATGAGTGTTAGTGTTTTCGGAGGTAAAGTTATACAAATTCAAGGTTACAAAATAAAAAAACACATATTATTTATTTGTTTAATTTAATTTAATATTAAATTAATTTTCTCAAATATAACTTCATCGACATCACCGGAATATTCCACATCAAGCTCTTCATCATTGTACAAGTTGGGCTGCTAATGCGCCTAAGCACCTTGTAAGCGTCCTTAAAACAAACATTGCAATTGGTCGCAGACAAATTTTTAATATGTTAAGTAACGTGTTAACTTTTTATTTTGAAATTATATCGGGGCGGCGCGACGCATTTTTAATAACATGTTTTTCATTTACTTTTTTGTTGACTAAAAGTTTCTGAATAGATCACTTTGAGGTCACTATTATCCCAAGTAGCACAACTGGTTAAATTTACGTTAAATTTACGTTCTGTCTGGTTAATTTACTTAAGTTATATTGTATATTGTAACGTTAAATTAACCTTAAATTAACGTTATTTTGTAATAAGTGGGGAATAAAAATCATGGTTAATGTAACGTTATGTTAAGTAAATTTAACTTCTTGGTTAATATACCTGTCGGTTAAAAAAAGTTAATATTTGGTAATTTTTGGTTAATTTTACCCTTTTTTGACTGCTTTTTAACTCTTTAGTCAACTTAAACTAAAGTGAAAAACCAACCATTTTAAGTTTATTTTAACTTAATATAATTATAATTTACCAAGTAGGTATATTATACTACACTGTAGTGCACTGTATGCATAGATCTATGAGTCTTAAGATTTTAAATAAAATGTCTCCCCTGAATATTAATATCTTCATTTTAATATTTAAAAGAGGTAGTTCTAGGAGAAAAACCAATGGGGCATTTTTTTTCTGATGAAATTGCTCATAATACTTTTATATTTTAAACGCGCTCAAAAAAGAATAAGAAATAAAGAAAATAAAAATTTAATTGCTTATTTGTTTTTTGTTTTACTTAAAATTGATTTAAAATACTTTCAAACATAAAATAATACTATTTTTTATTATTGGTTTATTTAAATTACCTTATTTTTGAAATAAAAATTAATGGCATTTCCTTTTGTAAAATGAACAGCAAGCAATATGGCGATTATAGGATGCTTTTACTAATTGGTTATTTAACCAATATAAATTAACCTGCAAGTTTATTTAAACCATTTAGTTATTTCCTTGTGTTTAAGTTAACTACTTTATTTACCCATCAGTAAACTCTTTGGTTTTGGTTTCAATTTGGTTACATTTAACACATTAAAATTTTCATTATAACACTATAATAAGAACACAGAAATGATTAAATGAATAAGAAATAAAACCCAAGAATAAGCACACAAAACACAAAGCCAACTGGTATTATTTTTCTATGTAGGTAACAATGAAAACTGCAAAATCATCACTTTTTTAAGGAGTTGGTTAATTAACGTTAATTTACCATTTAGTTAAAATACATTTGGTAAAATGCAACTTGTTGGTTAAAAAATATACTCAAATTAGCCAAAACTGTGGTTAAAATGAACCAAAATATAACGAAAAAATTAACTACTCTTTACCAGTTTTATTGGTTAAAATTTAAAGTTAATATAACGTTATATAACTTCTAAAATAACCTACTTATTAACTAAAGTAAATTAAGGTTATTTTAAAAGTTAACAATTAACTAAAAATTAACCATTTATTTAACTTGGAAGTATTGTTTCACTCATCAGTTAGTTTTAAAGTTAAATTATAGTAAAAAATAACTTTTAAATTAACTCTTAAGTAATATCAACTAGTTGGTTAATTTAAAGGTTTTTTTTAGTTTATAATAACCGTAAAAAAGACTAATTGGATAATTCAACTAATTGGTTAAAAACCCAAGTTAAAAAAAACGTCATTTAACTTATGTAGATTTAATACTAGTTATTTAACCGTTTGTGCTACTTGGGATAATACATCATGCATGAAACCATAAACCTCGTATAAAAATGTTATCATTTGTACCTTCAGCAACTCGCTCCATGTATCGTCGAAGAAATCGTACACTTTTAACAAAATCTACAGCACTTTTAACAGAACGTAAAATTTGAGGTTTTGAAACGTCTTGCTCAGGTATGGCGGTAGTCCCTCTTTCTCGCGTTCTTAAAGCCCAAATGGATAAAACATAGCCACATCTTTTTGACATTTAGTGCAGAAATAGGTTCTTTATAGAATACCGTATTTTGATTTACGAAAAAAAACATTGATTTTTTCAATTTTGGCCAGCTTTTTCCCATTTTCCGACCACTGTGGGACGGTATTTATAGTATTTGTATAAATAATATTTTTTCTTACTACCTCGGCCGAAAATACGTTGTTTCGTCCCCGATTCCACGGCAGAAAGTTTACGTTTGATGCATTGGTCAAATTTACGTTTGATGCATTGGAATTACACTACAAGGGCTACGAAGGCTTCGCTCGTGCCGCAAATGTCTGGGCAGGCATCAATATGTTTCGATATACACATTTAATTTTTTCCCGTATTTTCGGCCGGGTTGGGTTGGGTTGTATTTTCGGCCGGGTAGCAAGAAAAATAGTATACACTACACGGGCAGAAAGTGTGAGAGCCCTGAACTGCGCGCCATGATGCCCGAGGCGAAGCCGAGGGCATCATGGCGCGCAGTGCAGGAATCTCACACTTTCTGCCCTTGTAGTGTAATATACTATTCCCAGTGTTTGTCAAACAGAAGCAAAATTATACATTTTTGTTTAGTTTAGGTATGCTTTACCTTGTTTAAGAACAACCTTTAAAAAATCATTATATTTATTATTTCTAAGATTTTTGTTGCACAAAAGCAAAAATGGTTCAGTTTTTAATTTTCTTATTTTTTTTTTAGTTATGTTCGATGGCGAGACAATAGAGGGCGCGCCGCCGCTGTGGTGCGCAGCAGCAGCCGGACACTTGGAGATCGTGAAACTGCTGATCAGCCACGGCGCCAAAGTGAACACGACGACGCGCACGAATTCGACCCCGCTACGCGCCGCCTGTTTTGACGGCCACCTCGACATCGTCAAGTACCTGGTGCAGCATGGCGCCGACATCGAGGTGGCCAACCGCCACGGGCACACCTGTCTGATGATTGCCTGTTACAAGGGCCACATCAAGATTGCCAAGTACCTCTTGTTTTTGGGCGCAAGCGTCAACAGAAAAAGCGTCAAAGGCAACACCGCGTTGCATGACTGCGCAGAATCCGGCAGTTTGGAGATACTCAAGTTGCTTATAGAGCACGGTGCCACCATGGATGTAGATTCATATGGTAAGAAGGACATTTTATTTACTATTCCATTTTTTAATAACTCGTTTAATTGTTTTATGTCATATTTAAAATGTATTATTTTTCTACGTTTCAAACCCTTTTATTTAATACTCATATTAAGAAAGTTGTAAAGTAAGGTTGTGAATAAGACTAAATAAAGAACCACAAGGCATAGTTACGCCAAATAGCGTGCAGATGCAGACTACAGAATCTGTAGTACAGATGCGCAAAGGGCTCACCGTACATAGATGTCACCCAATGCTGCTTTACAATACATACTCACAAAAACAGCATTTTGCGCATCCGTAAGTTACTCCTCCTGTATTTAGTCTGACAAAGCCACTAATTTATTACGCCACACACACACATGCCAATATGATTTCTTCTACGTTCACGCGTCCCCACTATAGGGTTTGAAAGTGTCGAAAAAAAAACGAAGAAATTGGGGAAAAACCTGTTTTTTATTAGTTTTTTTTCAGGCCTTTTTAGGTATTATGATTTTATTTTGAAAAATATACACATTTTAATTAAAGTAACAATCATCACTTACCATTATTTTAATTAAAAAAAAACTAAACAATAAATCGGATTTAATTAATTTAAGAAAATAAACATTAATACAAGTTAAATATAATGTCGTTTGGGTCCTTTTTGCAAAAAGGAGTCCATTTTAAGTATTCATTTATAAAATAAAGAATGATTTATAAAGTTAAATTACAAAATTATAATTTTATAAATTGATGTGTCAAAGAAAACGATAATTATGTTAATACAGCACCGAATATGTCTTTTGCGGCCTGGTAGAATATTCTTATTAAATTAAAATAATAAGAATAATTATTATAATCATAATATATTAATATAATATTATAATTATCAGTGTACGATATCATCGTTTTCGTATTACCCTTTCAATAAAATGTGAATTTTCCTGAAAATTTCCCAATTACTCCGGTTTTTTTCGCCGGAAGAACTTCTCCGGAAATTTTAAAACTCACTAATAATATCGATATTGCACACACTGACGTAGTCGTCAGGAAACTCGTACCTCAGGGCCATAGCATAGATGTTTACTTATAAAAAATCAACAAAGAATGGCAGTTTAGGCTTTATTGTAATTTTATATTTCGACTGTTTAAGCATATTTTATTGCACTTTTATTTACGGTATTCTAAAAGTTTAAAAAATTAAAGTTATTTAGAAATAGTTATGTAAAAAACATACTATACTTTATCTACGACGAACACAATACAGAATTTAAAGCCAATTTTATTAGTTAAAAATTTGAAATCTTTTAACTGTCACCCGAATTAAGCTCACTTTTTCCCAATTTATAATTTCTAATAATTTTTAACTTCAGCCCGTGACTAAAAACCTGTTGACAACTTCAGCCGTGACTAAAACGCCATAAACGCCGTTGCGGAGTTACAGGGGCTCAAAGTTGCGCTCGTGTTTTTGTAGGGCTATTTTTAATTAAATTTTAAGTCTGATAGTTTTTAATTCGCAAAAAACAATGCAGTTGTTTCTTGTAGTATTTTTTCCGTACTTTTCGAATAAAAATAAAATAACAAAAATTTAAAAAAATTTTGACGGTAGTAAATATCAATTATATTTTTAACAATTTTTTGTCAAACTCCCTAAAATACTTTTTGTATTTTTTAATTTAGTCTAAAGAAAGGCAAAAAGCTGCCCTTCCATAATATATGACCTTTATAGTGGCGCGGTTTGTATTTCTGGGGGAATTAAGGCGTCAAAGGCTACGCCACCAACACCCAGTGCGAGCTGATCGGACACTGTTTTTTTGTCAGTTAATCTATGTAAAAAAATAACTGTCAAATTTCAAAGTTATTCATTAATTTATTTTTTAATACCTCGAACCATTGGTCCGTGGGCCAGGTATGCAAGAATTTCTTACATTTATAAAGGTACGCTTTATAGAAAACTAACTTTATAAAATTGAATTCATAAGTCATAAATAATACTACAGTTTACATGTACAATAAAGAAAGTACAAATTACTATACTACTACAGTAAAGCTTAAATATTAAAGCAATATATTTCCCCTCTCAAAGCAGAATATTATCAAGGATTTCTTAATGTCTCTTAATTTTTTGGCTAGTGACTAGTAGTAAGTAGTGAGTACTCCGGTCTAGTTTAACCATAGAACTGTGGGTTTAACTAATTTTGGGCCGCTGATTTCGAAAATGTCACTCGTTTTGCTCTAGGACGTCTAGGATTTAAAATAATTGTGTAATAAAATCTTAGAAGAATAAAATGCTCTGGTCAATCACCTCAAAATGTGGTTTTTGTTGTTAATATTTTAATTATTTATTAAATTGTTTTGCCTTAATTTATCGTGATCTTGATCCTGATTGTACTGGAGTAATCGGTATACGTCAAATAGATAATATTTAACTTAGGCGTATGGCATTTTAAATATTAAAACTAAAATTAAAATGTATTTTATGTAAAAAATAACCGTTATATGACATTTTATTTTAATTAAGTTTCGGTATGAAAATTATTTTAGCCAATTGAAATCCTGTCAATTTAGACCTATTAAAAACTGTCAAAAATACGGTTTGCTGACGGATAAAACGGAGGAAAAGTAATGCCGAAATTGGCGAATATTAAATTTTGTCTATTTACCTTTTCCATAGTATCGGATGTATTATTGTATAGAAAAATGACAGTGACATAAAAATTACTTTACTCGTGGAATTTTCTCAACAAATACGTTCGATTGAGCAGGACATTTTTTGGACTTTTAACTCGAACCTGGTGGTTTGTTAATTTGGCTCTAAGAAATTTGGGCAAATTAACATCAATTCTTTGAAAAGCGGAGAGCATTTCTTCAATTTTCTACCTGATATGATAAGATTTAATAAATTTAAGATTGGAGATTGAATTTTTGGTAACTTTAGGCGTAATGTGAATAAAAAATTTCAAATAATTGCCGAAGAGTAATGTTTATACCAAAATCCGTTTACTTTGGTGCCTTTTCAATTTATTAATTAAAAAAAACGACACAAAAATTTCAAAAAATGATACTTTTTATAAAAAAAATACAATAGAATTTTAGTTTTAATATTTGAAATGCCATTCTTTTGGTCTAAATATTTTCTATGAGGGATATAATACTACTACTGCTATAATGGAACAAAAAATTCAAAATATAAATATTATCTATTTGACATATACCTACCGATGACTTTGTATGAAGTCCTAGTTTATTTTTGACAAAAAAGGTCAAAAATTTACAGGCATAAGTACCAATCAAAATATTAATGAGAAAACTTACATTTTAAGAAAATTGGACAGAGCATTTTATTAAGCAATCCTAGACGTCCTGGAGCAAAACGAGTGGCATTTTTTAAATCATCAGCCATAAATTAGGCAATGTAGGTGTACTCAATGTTAGTAATTCGAACTATCATAGGGTAATTATATGTAGTTATTGTAAAGTGCCATCAAATTAGAATTCAAGGGGTTGATGAATAAAGGTGTTAACTACCATGTTCGTAATATGCAGAAAGGTGGTAAGTAATTAGTTTACTACATTTTTGCTTAGCACGAAAATATTATTAATCCATCAACCCCTTCAATTGGTCGATCATTATTATAAATATTGCTTTACATTTTTTTTCTTCGATTACCTTTAGGATAAATTTCACAATCTCTATGCAAAGAATATTTCCGGAGTTCAAAATGTGTTGCAGAAATTGGAATAAATGAATAAAATTGTTGTGTTCCTGGAATTGTTTTTGTGGAATAAAATCGATTTCACTTTCTGTTTCAGCAAGGCTGGTACTCGAAAGTTTTCTTTTGCCAAAGCATAAAAAGCAAATCAATTCAAAATTTGATATTTAGAAGACGCTTGTAAACTTGCACGCATTGTAAGTCTTTTTAAGTTCCCACCAATTTCATTACATGGGCCTTTACCATATGCAGTTGCATGAAGGTGCCACTTAGCTGGGGGATACCAGGATTAGAGATGTAAAAGTAACGAAAAAACTAATACCCGCATGTATTCGTTACTTTGAATGTGACTATTCGTTATAAAGTATTCGTTACTCGTTACTTTCGTTACTATAATACTTAAGTATTATTAGTATTAAATTTAATTATTATTATACATACCGCTGCCTAAAGAAAACATAAATTTTGATTACATTTACTTAGCATTTTACCAAATGATATTACAAAAATTGTCACATTTACACCCTGTAGAACAATTACAATACAATATTTTTTTTTACACATTAAGTACCTATGCTCCACTATAAAGATTTATTATTTTTTAACTCATAAGCGGTAAACGTACCTATAAATGATTTATTTCATTGACTGTACTTTGACATATACATAAGATAACATAAGATTTAAATTTATACTTTACAGTAACATAAAGAACAAAACATAAATACGCCTACCTTGTGAGGAAAAGTAAAGAAACTAAAAACCCATATAAAAACCTTTCTTTTCGCAAATAACTCTTTAAAATAAACAATGTCTAAATCAACGCGCGGCATAGATCACCTAGTCTATGGATCAGCTGATATATTTGTGTATGATATGATTTGTGTATGATACACAGTGTATCATGCACAGCGTACGCACAGTGCTGTGAGCGTACGCTTCAGCCTGGCGCATGGCCGTACGTAGATACCGGACGAAATTGTGAGTGGCGCAAGTAACGAAACGATGCGAGTAACGAGACGTATTTTAAAGTAACGAATCGGTATTTCGAACCTCATCCAGTACCCGTTACTTTGTACCGAATACATCACATCTCTAACCAGGATACCGGGCGGCGTTCTCTATAGAGAACGCCGTGCTTCGACGCCTTATATCCCCCATAAATACACGCCGCGCCAGTATAAATGTCATATTTTTAAAGGGCAGCTTGTACCTTTTTTTTAAACTGAAATAAAAGAATATGACAAAAAAAATTAAAATTGTATTACAATTTTGTTTTTCGGGGAATCAAATTAGTCATAAAAATTAATGAAAAAGTCATACTAAAAAACTAGCGCAACTTTAAACCAATGTATACCCGCAACCCGTGCTAATTTTTGCCCCCCCCCCCATTTTCGAAATCGGACACAGGACTTTTAGCCTGGTAGACTTGATGTGTTTTGCCCTATAAATTATCGTAATTAAATTAAACATTACATTTATTATTAAATCCAATTATAGTGTACATTTTTAAAACTTAACTTAACAAGCATTCAAAGAAACAAAAACCGTAATACTTAAAAAACGTGCATACGTCGCGTCAGTAATCTACAATCATTAAATGGTTTTATAAGTTAAAGATATAATTTTTTGTTTGCTCGTCTCCAGACAGCTTTGTTGCTGCCAATTTTTCGGAACGATACAATCAATTATTTTATTTGCGAGCTTTTAGTATTCCCCTTTTGCACATTAAACGTATATGCGTATAAGTATATGTACACTACATAATGTACACACAACGAAAAACGTACGTAATATTAATAAAAAAAAACATTAAGGCAATGATTTTTTACATTAATTTTGCTCCGATGCTCAAAATCATTACCACAATGCTTTTAAAGTATTACTCAATGTACAAGGACGTAATATTAATGCTTGGCGGACATTAATTTTAATCAGGAAGATCTCAAATAAAAGTACTGATATTAATGACCATTGACATGGATTAATGTCCTAGTACATTAATTCTATGCCCAGTAAACATCAACCAATTAATAAATTTTTATCAATTAACAATTAAAGAACATTATCCCAATCACCTAATATACATTAATTAATGATCTGTTAGCATTATCATAATGCAAAGAAGCATTAATAGTAGGCCTGAAATAAGGGATGGAAAAATATCGATATATATATACATATATATACGGGGTATTTCAAAAGTCAAGGACAGCAGAAAAGGGATGGATAGAGGATGGAATTTTAAGTCGATTGAAAAACGGCAAAGACCATTCGACTTAGAATCCCATCCTCTATCCACCTCTTTTCTGCTGTCCTTAACATTTGAGATACCCTGTATAAGTCGATTGAAAAACGGCAAAGACCATTCGACTTAGAATCCCATCCTCTATCCACCCCTTTTCTGCTGTCCTTAACTTTTGAGATACCCTGTATATGTATATGTATATCTATATATATATATATATATATATATATATAAATTATTACACTTACCTTAAGTTTTAACATTAAATCAATTTTTTTGTTGATCAGTTAACAAAAAGAGCTAGAAATATGTAAAAAAATTTATTAATAATTATTACTATTAATATTACTTATGTGGTGATGTTCTCTTTAGCCAGTTCCCTTTACAGAAATTTCCAAACATTTTCTACAGGTTTTATGTCCGGGCCACCGCAAAACTGGAACTGGAACTTTACATATTTTTAGTCCTTTTTGTAAATATTATGAAACTAAAGATTAATATAAAAAAATAATAAAAACCCTTGGTAATTTAAAATCCTTATATTTATTAGAAAAAAATTATGAAACATAAATAAACCTTAACTTTTTAATATTGTCTTACTTACATTCTAATTTATATTTCATATAATAATAAACCTAAACGCACAACAATCGGGATGGGCGGGCAAGCACGTCGCAACAGGATTAACAGGAATACTAAACTGTTGTTAAATTGTTTTCTTACTTGCACTTTTAGGTGGTGGGAAACAACAGGGCCTAATATTAATGTATTTAGACATTGGCTCAACGTATTTGGCGATAAAGTTATGATTTGTTGTATTATTTAATGTGTTAGGGCATTATATTTTGCTAAGGGGACATAAGTTGATGTATATATAGGCATTAATGTAATAATTTTAGATTATTAAATTATACCATTTAGAGTATTACTCTATTAAGCCTTGACATTAATTTTATCACTGAGCAATGATTAACTAATTTACTCTAGGTTATTGATTTAATGTAAATAATCATCGTATTAATGTAAAATATCATTGTCTTAATGTATTTTGGCTAAAAAATAATAAAATTCTTGCACTAGGATAATGACCAGGCAGACATTGTGACAATCCAATAATACATTAACTCATATTTTTTAAGCATTATCATAATTATTTGATTGCATTAATACTATGAAAAGGACATTATCGTAATGATTTTGCACTTAATGATCGTAGGACATTAATATCAGGTACGATATTTTTTTCTGTGTACTTACGTGGCATGTAGTTAAAAGTGGTAGACGTAGTTTTTGGTCGCTCTTTTTATGCGGTGTGTGAGCATTGAGCAAGAACCGACGTCGTAGTTGTAAACACGCGTGGATTATGCTGAAGTCTGGACGACGGGGTCGGGGAATTTTATTGCATTTTCCTTAAGTAATCAAACCCATAAAACCATGTCTTCGAACAATTGTTGAAATTTTCATACTTTATTATTTTCTTTTTCTTTTTCAGGAATGACTCCTCTATTGGCAGCCGCCGTAACTGGACATAATCATATTGTAGAATATTTAATTAATTTACCGCATCTAGTGCCAAGGGGCGATAGAATTGATGCTTTAGAATTATTAGGAGCCACCTGTGTAGATAAAAAACGTGATATGATTGGCGCTTTAGAACTATGGAAGAGAGCTATGTATGATAGGTAAGACATGCAATTAATAATTTAACTCTAAATAAAGAACAGCATATGAAAAATAAGCTATATTTTGTTAATATATTAATTAATAATACACAGCAAAACCAAGCTTTAATCTGTAAAATTTTTTATTGTTTTTTTTTATAAAAACGTCTGTTTCAGTTCATAATACAATTTATTTTAATACCAGATTTGAGATTGCTATACTGGGTACATCAAAAATACCATTTTTAATTGCTTTAATATACTTAAAGCCGTGTTTATATATATTACAATTCCAAATAAAACAACTTACTTTTTTTGCGACGCTTCCTAAAAAGCTTCGTTTTAATGAAAAAACACAGGGAATTTTTTTTTTATTAAAAACAAACGTGCCTTAAGACGATCTAAATTAATTTTTTGGTATAATCATGTCTTTTCTGAAAATATGTAGTATTTTTTTTTGAGATTTAAAATTTATTAACAATGAAATAACTTCACCTTGGAGTGAAGAAATCTAGATATTAAAATTACGTTTATACTAATTTAGTTTTAAAATAAAAATATCAATTTTAATATCTATTATTTTTTTATTTAATAGACCAAATCAACTGGGAACATTTTTAAATTTAGATTTTTATCTATTGTTATTTTGATTAACTATTGTTTTTTTTAACGATTTGGGTTCTATAATTGTTAATGTTTTAAATAAAATTTTATTTTTCATAAAAAATTCCCAAAAAACATTATTATACCAAAAAATTAACTTAGATCGTCTTGAGGCACGTCTTGTTTTTAATTTAAAAAAAATAAAAAAAATTCCCCATGTCTTTTCTGAAAATATGGAATATGTAATATTTTTTTTGAGATTTAAAATTTATTAACAATGAAATAACTTCAGTTTGGAGTGAAGAAATCTAGATATTAAAATTACGTTTGTACTAATTTAGTTTTAAAATAAAAATATCAATTTTAATATCTTTCATTTTTTTATTTTTTGTCTATTGTTATTTTGATTAACTATTGTTTTTTTTATCGATTTGGGTTCTATAATTGTTAATATTTTAAATAAAATTTTATTTTTCATAAAAAATTCCCAAAAAACATGATTATACCAAAAAATTAACTTAGATCGTCTTGAGGCACGTCTTGTTTTTAATTAAAAAAAAATTTACCAGTGTTTTTTCATCAAAAAGAGGCTTTTTAGGGGGCGTCGCAAAAAATTTAATTTTTAACGACCACCCTATTATCTATCCTACCTGATTATTTAAAATGTTATATCCAATATGGCGTCAATTGGAAACCACTTTTTTTAAATCCCTTTACACGGTTTTTTGCCTACATTTTTCCGGTCTTTCCAAGGGTAAACAGGATTAAGTGCTGACTTACTTGGCAAAAAAATATGTAACGAGATTTAAAAAAAGTGGTATTAATACAGTTTGGGTACCTACAGATATAGATTACATAAAAATATTTACTCTTTGTCCTATACACATTTTACTTAAGTTAATAGTTTTCGAGATACAGGGTGTTTAAATTTGTAAAAAATGTTGATAAAATTAGTAAAACATTTTAATTAGTGGAAATTATAAACCTATTTTTTTCTTAGCAAAATCCCTTATAACAAATATTAAACAAAAAATTTCCTTCAGGCACCAAAAATGTCACGACAATTTTTGCTTACAAACTATAAAAATAAAGAATAAAATGCCACAATTTTAATGTTGGCAGTTCTTAATAAAACTTTTTTGTTCATAACAAGTTCTTAATATATGGGGAATTTCATACCAAATCGACCACTTTTGACCCCGACCCCTTTTGATTTGGCTGAAACGTTTATTAACTTTTTTTACTATTTCTAACATTTTTCAGAATTTTGTCAAATTTTTTAACTCAACCAAAAAATTTTTTTTTCAAAATTTTCAGAAAATTATAAAAAAATATTGAATTTATTGGGATCGTTATTTTTCTTTTTTTCTTTTTCTTATTACAAAACTTTACATTTCCTGCAAATTCTCAACAGAAAAAAATTTCAAAAAAAAAATTGTTTAACTCATCTTATTTATCATAATACCATATTTTTGAATATTTAGAGAGACCCCAAAGTTTGATAAAAAATAATGAATGAAATTGCAATTGGTATTCATTCAAATTTTTTTAATGTTTTTTAAAAACTACATTTAAAACCAAAGAAAAAGAAAACAAAATGTTATTTGGTTCATTTTTAGAAAAACAACGGGCTTTTAAAAAAATTTAAGTGGTTGATTTGTAATTGAATTCGTTTCATGTTTTTTTAAACACTTCGCTTTTTTTCTTTAATTACCCAAAAAACTTCTTTTATTTAATAATTTTATATACAATAGCTATAAATACAACAAATAAAATTATTTTTTTACAAGTTTCAATAATTTACATACTCTAGATTCGGTGGAGTTTGAATACTAACGATAAGACAACCATTATTGTCCGGTATAACACAGTGCACTTTTTGAGTGCAGATGATAGGTAGAGGTTTTTTTTAAATCGGCTTACTAAGCTCTCACTTGCATCTGATGTTGAAAATGCAGTTTCAATAGTGTCGTAATTGTAGACTCGCTCCGGCACGGAGATGGTGAATTTGCAGAAAATGTTAAAAAAAAAGGAAAAAAAAATGACAATTGTAGGGAAATTTTTATTTTTTTACAAAAAATTAAAAAAAAAGTTGAAGATTGGCCTGATTAATTTGTTGTCTATATTTTTCTAAAAACTACATTTAAAAATAAAAATAAAAAAAAACGTCTCGATAAGTCAATTTTTGAAAAAGTTAAATAATATTTTGGTTTGGTATCTGAAGTCTTAAAATGTTGAAAAAAAATTAAATTATTTCATGATTGGCAGTTTCTTAAGAAATTCTTTGGTTTATAATAAGAAGATTATATTCAGGAGCTTAAACTCCATATAAATTCGAAGAGTGGAGGTAAATAAGAACGTCGCACGTAGGGTTGGGACAGTTGAAATTTTCAAATGAAAATTTCAACTTTGAAAGTTTCAAACTTGAAATATTTCATTTAGTTGGAAAAGTGAAATTTTTAAAAATTTCAAATGAAATTTTCAATCCGAAAATTTCAACATTGCCTGTGAAACTTTCAGAAATTTCATTGAAAGTTTCGCAATTTACTGAAAATTTCGCATAAATTTCACATGCGGCCTCCCCTGGGACCTTTAATAATAATTTACAACAGATTCCGAATCGACCAATAAAAACCAGTTATCAAGCGTCTGGGCGTTTTTGTTTAGTTCGGCTTGGATTTGAATACACTTAAGTAATTATTGTTACTTATATGCATAAATTAATTTAAATAATTTAATTCAGTTACCAATTTAATTTGTAAATTAAATCAGACTTTAAATTTTTTTAAAAGTCATGATTAATTTAAACTTTTACTTTTGCTATAATTGTATCGGAAAACGGATAACAAATGCATTTGGTTTATAAAATTTTGATGAAGTTTCTTTAATTTTTGTAAAATTTCAGTAAAATATATAAAAATAATAAATATATATATAAATATAAAACAATGAAAGTGGCACAATCTCATTAGGTTACCAAAAAGTGCTATATCTCTCTTAGTTTTAGTAATTTTAAAAGGAAATCTCAAGAAATTTGTGGTAAACATAGGTATTTACCATTTATATTATTGGTGCAGGGGCCCACAGAGGGGTAGGAGGTAAGAGAGGCAATTTGCCATGGGCTTGTTTCAATATTAATATATTACACTTCAAGTGATTGAAATTTATTGAAAGTTTCAATAAATTTCATAAATTTCATGAAATTTTAGACATTTAGGAAATTTTAATAAATTTCATAAATGTCTTGAAAATTTCAAGTGAAATTTCAAGTACAAGCAAAAAGTGAAATTTTCCCAACCCTAGTCGCACGTGTACGAGAACGCAAAATTGAGATCTGCGCATCTCCCCTCCTATACTTTGCGATTAAAGAAGATAAAGAAGGTATCTTTTTAGTAGTAAACAAAACAGTTTGTTAAAACAGTGAGTAAATTTATGAACTAATCAGAATTACTGTCGTTGGAGCAGAAAACGTAAACTGTAATTATGTTAATTTGGTCATCAGTAATGCATTTGCACATATAAAATGACTGAATTTTGCAACGTAAATTAAGTCGATTGCCAGTTCTATGGTGTAATCATTGCACTGTAACGTTTCATTATAAACTAACTGATGGTATTTCAAAAAACGGATGTGTTTTTCATCCCTTGATAAATTTAAACAATTTTTAACACAGCACAAACATCCCGTAGTGTTTTCTCAATTTTGAAATTTAATAGTTCTTGTCAATCAACCTTCTTTATCTCTATTGTCAACCTTCCAATCAATGCGTGCACGTGAAGTCAGTCACGTAAGTCGACGGTCTATGCGCGGTTGATTAATAATCATTTGTGCACATTGTACACTTCCCCTCCTTTATCCGGCTGCCAAAGGACGCGTTTACTATCTATAAACGGGTAAACATACCAAACGCTTACAAAAAAGGTTTTTCTATTATGAAGTTTGTCCAAGGACCCACTGCATATTTTTTCTTTAGAAAGTAATTAATTGTAGTCAGTTTTCTTCTAATTCCTATTATCATTTTAGATATTATGGAGCTGGTCAACCGATTCCAAAAAAAGTTACCCAAAAAGTAGCCGCGTACGACTACACGGCCGAAATAACGGAAATCGAGGCGCTAGACGATCTGATGGCCGATCCCGATGAAATGCGCATGCAAGCGCTGGTAATGCGCGAGCGCATTTTGGGGCCGGCGCACCCTGACACCAGTTACTATATCAGGTATAGGGGCGCTGTGTACGCGGACGCCGGCAAATTCAATAGATGCATAGAACTGTGGAACTACGCTTTGGACATGCAACAATCGATGTTGGAAAGATTGAATCCAATGACACAGAGCAGTCTGTTCTCCTTTACTGAATTGTTTTCGTTTATGATGGGCGAGGAGGGTAAACACACGACAAGAGGGCGATTAGTGCCGCCTGTGGATGTCTTGGAAGTATTAAGAGTGTTTAAGAAGGCGGTGCAGGAAGTTGAGCACGGACAAACGATGTATAAAGACATGATATATCTTACGAGGGTGTTGGTCGTCACGTTACATCTAGCTTGTCTACTGACCAGACTTATAGAGCACCACATGCAATCTGAAACAGTCACAAAGGATATCCACCAAGCCATCTATCACTTAGTAAACCTTAAAATTAGAGCCCGTTACGGCAGAACCCCGCTGCACTTGGCCTGTTGCCAAGATGTAGCCCTCTTAGGTCGTTACAAGGCCTGCCAGTTCCCCTCCCCTCACTTAGCAGAAGTGTTATTAAAGGTGGGAGCCGATCCCGATATAAAAGACGATGACGGCAACACACCGCTCCATCTGGCGGCGATGGCGAAACCGTGCCCGGCCAGCGTCGCGCAGATCCTGCTGAATAACGGGGCCCACTTGGACGTTGTAAATAATAACGGCGATACGTTTGCCAGTTTGCTGAAGGGCCAGCAGGTGCACGAGCTGGTCAATACGGCCAAATTCACAAGACTGAGTTGTTGCGCTGCACGAGTCATCCAACAGTTTAAGATACCTTATAGAGGCGTTGTGCCAGCTGCTTTAGAATCGTTCATTGCGAACCACTGATTTTGTGATTTCCTTTTAGTTCTACTGTAAACGTACATATGTTTGTCCACATCTACAATACCATTTATATTAAACATACCACATACAAAAGAAACAAATTATTTGTAAGTTTCCGAATAAATTGTACCTTGCTTCTTCTCGACATTTTGACGGTGTTTTTTTGTATTACAGGCTATTAACAGCCATTTTTCCACGGGATGGCCAACATCTTTTCTAGGGTAATTTTCTGCACTTATTCCAAAAATAATCATCATTTTGCTCTATTGTGAAAAACCGTTTTCTTCGATATGCAAATATTCAAGTTTGTATATGGGGAATTCCACGCCAAATCGACCACTGTTGAACCCTACCCCTTTCAATTAGGCTGAATTTGTTTTTTTTACCTCACTAAAAAATTTCTCACAATGTTTTCAAATTTTTTCACTTGAACAAAAATAGTTATTTATGTCATTAGGTTAAGAAGTAAGGCTTTTTGTGCTAAGCTCAAAGTTTGAAGGCCGACGCGTAGCGGAGGCCTACAATTGAGCGAAGCACAAAAAGACACTTCTTGGCCGAATGGCATACAACATTTTATCTTCAAAGCACTTTATATAGGTCAATTTAATTCAACATGAAAGCGGTCTAACCTCACTTTTTTAGAATGTCATTTATTTATTAGCTAAAGATTACATTAAATGTACAATAATTATTATTCCTTTTAGAAGCAGCAATAGTTTGACAATACCTAGCTACATGATTTAAGTAGAAATGGATTTTTTTTAGAAAATGGTTTACTTACCCTCTTGCTATTACATTGAATTCAATTAATTGTTTAATAAATAGGTATCTAATTTCAATTTGTTTGCATTTTTATTAAAAAAATAGGTAGTTTGGAATGTTTACGCTGTGTTTAACATTTAATTTCACTGAAAACTTAAAGCAAATTAAAACTTAAAGATAATTTAAATCGTAGAAAAAGAAAACACATCAGTGAAATCCACAGAAACGTCAAATTGTAATGTCCTAACCTAACTTTTTGTTTTATTATTCATATTTAATTTTACAATAATTTAATGAAAAATAATAAACATTAACAGTAAAACAAACAAATTAGTGCTTATTATAAATAAATTAAACCAGTTTAGTACGTTAATTTCTTAGAAAAGGATTAATTTTTCAAAACAATACCCCTAGCGAGAAAAAATCGAACTAATTACTTGCCTCATAAAAATTTTTATCGGCCTAGGCCATAAAAAGTTATTTCTTTATCGAATGTTGACAACAATAAAGTTTAAATTATAGACCGCGTGGAGATAAAGTTACTTATTTAAAAAAATGGCTCTTTTTTAAATAACCATAAATTTTTAAAAATTGACTAATTTCTATAATAACTGAACATTTTTATAGAACTTGACAGCGATAAATGTTATATTTCATTAAAAATTAAAAAAAAGCAATTACTTATGTTAAATTTTTTTTTGGTTAGGTAAAAAATAACAAATCAAAAGAGGTCGGGTTCAAAAGTGGAGCGATCCATATACATTAATTTTTTTAAACAAATATATACAGTGTTGGCCATAATTTTTGGAACCACTGTAAAAAAATCCAACTCTAAAACGCCTTTATTATTCTTTATGAAATTTTGGATAAAAATACTTCAACTTATATCTCAGTTTACGTGTTCGAGGGTTTTTCGAGAAAATATTTTTTAAGCCCTTTTATTTAATAATGAAAAAACGTTCAAAAAATTTAGTTAAAGTATTTTTATTCAAAATTTTGTAAAGACCAATAAAGGCGTTTTAGAGTTAGTTTTTTTTACAGTGGTTGCAAAAATTATGGCCAAAACTATATTTATATTTTTGAAACAAATAATTTAAGAGAATTTTATTGGTAATGTACCTATGGGTCCTAATTAAACTTACCGCACAACAATCTGGAGTGCTTATAAGTTCTTATGTTATCTTTCATGATTTACCACCACATATGTAAACTAAGGAGTGCAGCGTGAGATCTGAAAGCAAAATCTTAATTGCGCATGCGTCAGGTGATGAGTAAAATGCATTAGAAATCACGGCGTGAGTTTAACTGAGAAAAATCTGAACTCACAGATGCTGTGCGGGTAAAAAAAAATGATTCATGGAAAACATGTTTATAAAAATTATATTTTTTTTGAATTAAAATTTTAACCCAATACAGTAAATAAATAAATGAAGCTATAAATTTTGTAAATTTCATTAAAATAAAAAAAAAATTGTTTTTGTAACAGGACAAAAGGATTTTGTTAAAAAGATGATTTTATATGCGTTAAATTTTTTTTAAAAGTTCAATTAGAAATCAGCTACACTACCAATGATCCTTGTTTCAAGTATTTGATTAAAAAAATATATAAACACACAAATATTAATGTTTTCTTATAAAAAGCCTCTTTTTACAATATCGCAAAAACAAATGCTGATTAAGAAAATTACCCTATAAAAGTTGTTGGTTACCATGTGGCAAATTTTATTTTGCCATCCACTTCAAATTTTAAATGATTTACTTTATTTTTACTACAGCAACCTTCTAAGAATAATTAATTTGGATAAAATTTCATCTTATTTATTCAATAAGCATTTTACGAAAAAAATGTGATAATAATTTAAAACAAATTTCCAGGTATTGGCAAATATTTTTCCTTTGTCATTATCAAAATACGTAGGTACAAAAATTGGTGTCTCTGTCCTTCATTTCAAAAATACCAAAAATATTGACCAATTTTCCTTTTCCTAACCCTAAATTTATTAGGACAGCGCCATAAAAAATGAGTGTTAAAAATTAAATGTGTTTTCTCTTGTGTCCAATTTTCAGTTTTGGTATTGTCTACCATATCTTTTCAATAAAAATTCTATGGTATTTAATACATTTGGTCCCATTTAGAAAAAAATCACTAGATTGTTCCCAGAAATAGTGTAATTGTAGGTAAATAAATGTTTGTATGTTTATAATCAAAAATATTGTTTGTTCTTCTGTCCCTGTAAAAACAAATTATTTCATTAGAACAAATAATTTTTTTGTTTTAATTAGACTTTTAAATTGATAAAGTGTGATTTCTGAGTGCTATTTACAACTTATATAGGCTATATGAATTTTGTTATATATTATTAAATAAAACTGTAAACTATACAACTGATCATGTATTTTATTTGAATTTCTAACCAAAATTTTTAAAATCTTTAATAATCTATCGGGCGCTACCGGATTCAATATGTGCATTTGTCCATGGTTTTTTCCGGATACGGCCCGATAGAAAATGTATAGGAATTTACCTATAGGCACACCATAACTTTTACATTTCCCCTATTGAGACCGATAGCAAATACCTCAAGGAAGGATATATAGGGATATCCCTATAGAGCAACCATAAAACATTTGACATAATTTTGTTAAAACCTATGGGGTCCTATGGGAGAAAAAATAACTTTTACATTTCCCCTATTGAGACCGATAGCAAATACCTCAAGGAAGGATATATAGGGATATCCCTATAGAGCAACCATAAAACATTTGACATAATTTTGTTAAAACCTATGGGGTCCTATGGGAGAAAAAATAATTTTTACCTTTATGTGTAATTTCCCTATTGAGACCGATGGCAAATAAATCAAGTAAGGATATCCCTATAGAACAACCATAAATCCCAACTATGGGTCCTATACATACTGATACACCCTATAGAAACACCATACAATCTGATACAAAAATCTATTGGTTTGAACAGGGTCTGTATGTGACATTTTAACCAGGGAAGCAAATCCAAATGAGTAAATTCTACAAGCCCTAACAATTTATGTTTGGATGATACCAATTTTTAGAAATGAGTAAATTTTAGGTATCTGTAACAACTTAAACAAATATTTAGATATTTTAGATTTAATTAAATATTAATACCAAAACACAATTAAAAATGATACAAAACCATAAAAAAATTTTATTGGTTTCAATGGGGTAGTTAAATTTTTTCTGACCTATACTTTTTATGGTTTTATTCAAGGCGTTTTGTAATATTAAACATTTCTGTGAAATCAGAATTTCAATGGGGTAGTTAAATTTTTTCTGACCTATACTTTTTATGGTTTTATTCAAGGCGTTTTGTAATTTTAAACATTTCTGTGAAATCGGAATTTCAATTGAGTTTACCGTTTTCGAGATATTTACAAAACAAAATCTCCTAATTACGTCACTAGGCTATTGACAACGTTGCCAGCTTTTTCTATGGTTGCCAGTGTGTTTAGTTTACGATAGATGGCGCCACGTTATAATATTTTAGTTGAGAAGAAGAATTGATTTTTTGACGTTTCTTTTTTTCGGGTTGTTTTTTTTTAAATTTAGATTATTGAAAATCAATGTTATTGTTATCTTATTTGTAATTGATATTAGATAAGTGATTTATTAATAACGGACTCCAAAGCAGAGAAATCTTGTGGAATGGTTGGTTACATTGAACATTGGGGCTTTTAAACAAAAAAAGTAAGTACCTATAATTATAATCATATTTTGTCGTAAATGCATATCATTGGTATAATGCCTAGTTCTTTATATTCTTTTAGATATATTATTATTTTTTGTAAATTTATTTCATTCATTTTCAGCTTTATTTTGCCACTTTTTTCTATGAAATAAATTAAACTCTGCTTTAGGCAGTTATTAGGTACCTATTTATTACATTTTATTATGTTTCACACGGTGTTTCAATGTGTAAACCTATCAATAAAACTTTTAATTTCAGAATTTTCTTTAACCTTCTCTTCTTCTTCTTTCACTCAACTGACAGTGACAGTATTTGTACATAACCTCTTCGGGTATTTTCTGACATAACCGAATGAAATCATTAACAAGACAACTTGACAACAGGGTAATTTTCAACCAATAGAAATCTTAGAATGTTGGTCACATGACGGGGTTTGTGACGTCATAAAAATTTATATTTTTTGTAAATATCTCGAAAACGGTAAACTTAATTGAAATTCTGATTTCACAGAAAT